TGGATTTGAAAAAGAATGAGTATGATCAATAAGGTGAGAAGGAAAAATGAATAAAATCAAGAAACAAATAAAAAAATCAAGAATGAAGAACAAAATTCTAGAATAAAAAAAATGTAAGAAATTAAAGATGGTGGATTTCAATTATAGATATGGATAATCTAAAATTGAACCCACTTCTTAGAAAAGGGTGATTCCCTAGAGGGTTCTAGCCTAAAGGCGAATCAAACAAAATAAAAATAAACAAAAAGAAAAACTAAACCCAAGAGGGTTCTAGCCTCAAGGTGAATAGTATAAGAAATTAAAATCTAACTACAAAATAAATTACAAAATCTAAACTACAAAATAAAATAAAATTTTCACACCCTTAACCCCTCACTCTCTATCCCTATTTATAGTAATCTTCAATGAATATGAGCCATTGGATTTGTCTTGAGCCCCAAGCAACAATCTCCACCTTTGAATTTGATTTTTGTTCTTCTCTAGCCCAAATATAGGAAGCCCATATGATTTTCAAAAGAAAATAAAAATCAAGTGCAAAAAGTCCAGTCCATTGATTTTAATTCCAGCAGTCAGGTCCATGAAGTTTCATTTGATTTTCAAGTCTAAATTCTACAACACAGTCCGGTCCAACTATATCAGCAGCAAATAAGTTCTTCATTTGATTTTCTAAACTGAAAATGAAGCACAGCCGGCCCATCATGAAAATGCAGCCAAGCCCATCAATCCAAAGTCCAGCAAAGCCAACATTTTTGGTCCATGAAGCTTCATTTTATTTTCAAAACAAAATCAATGCTCTGCAGTCCAAAAATCCGGTCAATGGAGAGAATAATCAGCAGCAAGTCCAGCCCAATTGATGAAATCCAACTGCAGCAAATCAAATTCTTCATGCTTCATTTGATGAAAGAAAATGAAGGTCCGGCCCATTTGAGTCAATTAAAAGCCAATTTCACAAATCCGGCCCATTCCTTTGCATCCAAGTACAGCAGCCGGTCTTCAGCAGGTCCTATGCATTTAAAAAAAATGCAATTCATTTGAGAAAAAAATCCGGCCCATGGATCTCTTCTTCATTTGGTGTATTCTTTTTGATGGGCTTTGGGCTTTCAAATTCTTTTCCTCTTTTAAGCTTGGGCTTCTAGGCTTCTAAAATGCTACAAAATAGAAAAGAGAGATTTTTAGGGGTTTTTACATTTAATAATATTTATTTATATTTTCATTCAATTATGTGAAAACTAAGCTAACAACAATTATTAATGATATACTTATTCATGTAAAATAGATAATGAGGGTATAAAATTGTAATAAAATATGATTATCAAATACCTCCACACCTAAACTTTTGCTAGTCTACTAGCAAAGAAAATAAAAAGAAAATCCTAACTCACTTTCGTAGGAATCGCGGTTGTATTTAGCGCATACAACAAGCCTTTAAACCCCTAGATTACCCTAGTGGACGAGTTGTAGTCTCGTGAGGGTTTGCAGTGAATATACCCACAAAATTCGGTCAACTTGCCAAGTTAAAGAAGTCAGCAAATAATTAAATTCACTTGATAACTTTTAGATAATCTAATTGGAGCCGGTTATCACTCAAGAAAACATTTTTATATATAACTCTAAGGTATATTTTTAAGAAAATCTTCTCATTGTAGCAATACAAAACTAAGCCAAACTTAGAAATTTAATTTAAAAGTTTTGAAAAGAACATGCTAACTCTTTGTTTTAAATAATTTTTAAGTTGCTTGATTTAAAATATCTTCCAAGACCATATATACAATTATAAAACATTTATTAGTTTTTTTTAACTCTTTCATCCTTGGTGATTTTTTTTCTACTTTAACGGGCTTTCTAAGTGACCTTTTAACGAGTTTTGGGCCAATGGATCCCAATCCAATTGGGCTTAGGTCATTAAGTATGGAAATACTCATTGGGCTTAATTACTCGGTCAGCTTAGGCTTTATAAGATAGAATCACCTAGAATTCAAGAGTATCATTTTTTTCTTTTTGGTGCCTATTTTTCGCACTCTTCTTTTGCAATTTTTTTTATATGTATATATATTTTGAAAATATGTAAATCAAGACACTTTGAAAAAATTATTTTCAACTCTAAGTTAAGCATGCAAAAATTTTATTATTTTAAATAAAAATCCAAGTTAAGGCTTAAGTAAGGGAAAATGTAACTAAAAATGTAAAATAAAGAGAAAAAATAACTAATTCTCACCCCCACACCTAAATTTTGTATTGTCCTCAATGCAAACTCTATGATGCATAAAATAAAACAGATAAGAAGTGAAGCACTTACATTTGGTCCGCTGATAAAAATCTGCAATTACCTTTGGTCTGAGGAGGATGAAAACAAAATTTTATTCTTCTTCTTTTTTCTTTTTTTTTCCTTTTTTTTTCTTTTTTTTTCTTTTTTTTTTTTGAAAACTGAACAAGAAACTCTCACATGAGAGAAGAATAAATTCTTTTTATTATTCTAAAATAAACAAAATAAATAATGTAGAATAAAATATTCAACATGAAGAGTTCTTGTTCTACATTGAATCCTACCTTATTGCTGAAAATGATTGAATCCTACCTTATTGCTGAAAATTCTCCCACGGATTTTAAACAATTTCAACATGATATAAACAACAATGTGCTGAAATTCTAAGCATTCCGGGATGTTCAATTATTTTTGTGGCAATGGAAGGTAGGTATTATTGGTGTCATGCATATTGGACTTAGATTCTTGATTTGTGAATGTTTGTTCTCTAACAACCAATTTTTCTTTAACAATTTTCTCAACCCCAAGATTCATGGTTGATGTGTAAAAATTTGGTTGTTGTTTATTTTCCAAAAATCTTAGTTCATCAAGAAAGAGTTCTTCAAAATTCAGTTCAAAGCAGTAATTGTTTAACACAGTTTCCTTATTTTGACAAACCTGATCTGCTTATCCTAATGTATTCAGCTCCTCACCATAAATTTCCTCAAAACTTGGATCTGACTCTTCTTCTTCTTCCTCTGGTCTTTCCTGATTTGAGTTATCAGAAGGAGAAGGAATTGGTTCTGGAATAAATTCTTCTTCTTCCTCTGGTCTTTCCTGATTTGAGTTATCAGAAGGAGAAGGAATTGGTTCTGGAATAAAGGTTTGACTTGAAGGTGTTCTTTCCTGATTATCGACCTGTTTTCCTAACTGTAGTGTAATCATTTGAGTGTCCTTAGGATTGTCCACGGGTTGACTCAGAATTTCTCCTTCCTCTCCTTCACTTATGGCACTAGCTAGTTGATCAATGTGTGTTTCTAATCTAGCTATGGCTTGAGTGTTAGAGTTAAGTATGAGTTCGGTTGATTGCATAAAGGAGTTCATCGTGTAGGATGTTTGAGTTAACATATCCATGGCTAGTGTGGAGGCCTTAATTATGATTTCAAAACCTTTTTCCAAAATATTGAGACGTTCATCATGATCTGTATCAAGAGGAGTGTGAGTTACAACTTGATGATGTGAAGATTGATTTTGATGTGACAGACTGGGTTGTTGAAATTGTGGATGAGAATTGAAAGGAACTGTATTTTTCCTAGGAAAATGTTGGGTCGAAGAGGGAGTGAAGTTTTGAGTTTCGGAGTGGTTTCCCTGATTCCATGCAATGTTTGTGTAACTTGCCCAACCTGGGTTGTAGGTTGGAAAAAATGGATCATTTACCGAATACTGATATGGACTCTCTACAAACTCCCGGACTTCATTGGAAACTTCAATTCTATTGGGATAACATAAATTTTGAAAAACTTGTGGATTATCCATTTGTTCAAAATGAATTTGTTGATGTGTAATGTCCCTAATCCACGTTTTGCATGCACCAAAAATAATTTCTTTTTATATAATTTTTTTTTTGGAAAAATAAAAGTTAGTTTTTTTTAACAAGAAAATGGAAAATCCTGACTAAAACAAATCAAAATCAATCACTTTTCAATCACTCTAACTCTAGGGTTAAGCCTAACTCACTAGACTAGCTCCTAACCAAAAATTCCTACAGTGAAAAGATAAAAGTTTTACCCAGGTAGTTAGCCAGCTAAGGATAGTACTAGAGGGTGATCAAAGATCAATTAAGTACCTCTTTCCTTGCGGAGCGCTTTACGCAACCCCTAAACCTTGCCTTAGACACCAACTAATCTGAGAAAACTTAAACCGGTTCACTTAAGAGTTTCTTGTTCCTTATTGAGCTCGAATCCTTAGGGGCCAACGTCTAATGAGTTTTATTAGTCTTAGGTAGTGTAGTGAGGAATTAGTGATTTTTGGGCTAAGGAAAGGGTGATGAAATCCCTCACCTTATCTTGATTATGGGGTTTTGCCCTTAAAGATATTTTTAAGTGTGTGCCAAATCAAGATGCTCAAATCACTTGGTGAATTCCTACTATTAATATGAAATACAACCCTATGAATTAAAAGCAACTAAAAAGGATGGAAAAGAAAAATCTTTTTTTTAATTAGGGTTAACAATCAAACAAATGAGAAGGGGGAAATTTGTTTGAATTTATTATCTTGTTAGTAAATGTCAAAGTAAAGGGTGAATTTTATTATGGTCAACGGAAATAAATTTTTTTTTTAAGATCCTAATTGTTACTAATTGTGAGAAACTAACTAAAAGTGTGGAATTGAAAATATAAGGAAGAAGACTTACCACAAGCGGAAAAAAAATTTGTACCCACTTAATTAAGTTTTGTACCTACTCATGCATGTTTTCTACATACTTAGCCACGTTTTGTACCTAATTTTTCACCTATACATGGTTAATCCATACAACCACATTATCATCAATACAACCAACTAATCCATACGTACATAAACTTTAATTTAAATTATCATCCATACTTGATTAATCCATACGACCACATTATCAACCATACATGATTAATCCATACAACCAAATCATCCATACATACATAAACTTTAATTCAAATTATCAAAATTCTTCATAAACACATGCTTTGTTCTGGTCCACCTTTAACTTTGTTTTGGCCCTCCATTACCTTTCTCGATCACCACCTGTAACATTTTTCATCTACAAAAAAAATTACAACTTTATCATTACAAATGCATCGACATGAAAAAAATATTAAATCAAGAATAAATATAATACCTTAGCTAAAGGACAACTCGTTATATAATGTCCTTTTCCCTTACAAAATCCACAAAATCTTTGTTTTTTATACTCTTTTCTTGTGCTATCTCAATTCCGGACTTAATTCTGGTAGCTTGTGTTGGTCGTCCCTTCGTGGCAATAGGCTTATCTGGATCACGAATAGTGATTTGAGTTGCTTCCTCTACAGAGATGGGTATGGATGAAGTAGGCATCTTATTGCTAGTAATGCTCTCATTTCCATTGTCGTTATGTTCATTTTCTTTCTTGTAAGTACCAACTTCTTCAAAAAATGAGTCTAAAAAAGCACTAAACTTATCATGAAGTGTACTTGAAGTCAATGTATCTTCTAATGCCTTGTTACATCTACTCCTAAGGGTCCAATGTTTAATGATAGAGACTTGGTTTTCACTATTTGAAATGTAATTTCTAACTCCGCAACCAACATGTCTTGCTTTAATTGTCCATCATTGCATAAAATATCTTAATGGAATTTCTAATACTTGCTTCTTTACTAAAATATGCGAGCTATGTTTGCATAATATACCTTCCATCTCAAATCTCGCACAAGAGCACTTAATTCTTTTTTCTTTGGATGTATCGAAAACAACATGATGCTTTACTATCTTCTTGCTTTCAGCCTCGCTATCTATATTCCAAACGGCATAAGTAGCACTTGCGCCATCCTTCGACAACCTCTCATGAAGCATGGAGTAACTATCCTTGAGTTCTTTCTGAAAGATAGTAAACAGATTCTTCGTATAATTCTCCCGAGCTTGTTTTTCAATGGGATGTTCAATTATCAATGTAGGAACTGAGTTTGTGGACTTAAAATCTTGCTCAAGTTCAGCGGCTCGGCGAGCTCTGACAGCATTATCATACTGCTTAACAAAATCATGTAACTCGGTATTTACATTCACAAAATGATCAAAAAAAGCATTAATTCCCTCACTCCGCTGAGTAGATGTCATTCCTGCAGTAAAAGTGTCTTTAAGATACACTGGAGCCCAATGATCTCGATGATTGTATAAATTTACTAACCAACTCCTTTTATCTGCACCATATTTGTCCCTCATTTCTTCCCAACGCTTTTCAAATTTTTCTTCCGATTTACTCCAATACCATTTGTTATACTTTACACCAACATCCTCACCATAATCATTACATTCCTATGAAGGTGCCAAGAACAAAAGCGATGACGAGTTTGAGGAAAAACTTTATGAATTGCACCACACATAGCTTTATCTTGATCAGTGATGATTGTTAATGGTGCTACACCCGACATACATTTTAACCATTGGCTAAATAACCATATAAACGTCTCCTCCGTTTCATCGGCCAGTAACGCACACCCAAATAGAGTAGATTGTCGATGATGGTTAACGCCCGTAAATGGTGCAAACGGCAATTTTAAATTGTTCGTTCTATATGTAACATCAAAGCAAACAACATCTCCAAATTGCAAGTAAGAAGTCCTCGCCCTACCATCCATCCAAAAAACACTTCTCATCGTCCCATCATTTTCTAAATCAAGTGCGAAGTAAAATTGAGGATCAGATACCTTTTTCTCTTGAAATTAACGAACTATGCTCACGCACTCATGACCGACATTATTTTTTCGTTTTATTCTAAGTTGTGCTTGGCATTCTTGTTGAGTGAGAGAGCCTTGCTCATTTCCATGAGCAACGTCTACAACCTTACAAATGGTAGAAGGCCGTAAACCTTGATTGTCAAGAGTATCTATCAACCTTCTTGTCGATTGAGCTCGATGAAGTGTCCGATGTGAGTAGTGCTTCTTTACCCGATTTGGGGTGGTTAATGGATGACCATTATGATTAATGTTTAAATTTCGGACCACCCATTTTTCAGTGCTTCTATCGAGTCCAATAACCATCCTTGCCTTGCATCCACATCTTGTATCGAACTTTCGAACTACATTCCGACCATCTGATCTTTTATCTTTTAAAAATTTAAAACCTTCCTTGTCACATACATATATTCTAGATATGATTGCATCTTTCTTTCTAGACCAAGTTGTGTGACCCTTGCGAACACCAAATCCCTTAAGTCTAGCGTATGCATTGTAGAAATTATAAGCTTCCTCATGAGTAGAAAACTTCATTCCAATATATGGATCAACAACAAAATTACCTTCACCATTTTCAACGCCAATAGGCTCATCAACATTCTGCTCATGCTCGGATGCCTGTAAAAATAGAGAAACAAATATTATAAAACCCATTATAAAAGACAACTATTTTGGTATATGTCATTAGATAGTAGTACACAATAGACAATAAGATATTATCACCTGAGAGAAAAAACTTGTCGTAGATAGTAAACCATAGTCATCGCCGTCAAGGTCAAGGGCTATATATTTGTTCTCATCTTCAACCATTGTTGTATCACGTGAGAGAATTGTTGGCGTGTCCATACAAACTATCAAATTATCACATATAAGAAGTTTAAAATCTATAGAAAATCGTCCTCAAGTTCATCTTTCAATTTCACTAAACAATCTCATTACGATAATTTAAACAATTTTCAAAGCTCATATCCAATTTAACATTAAACCTATCATAAAATTTAAACTAAAATATGATAGTTAAAACCTCCAGCAAACAAGTTAATTCATAACCTCAACTTGGATCAAAAAGCAATGTTGCTCATAAACTACCAAATGCCAACATGTTCCCATTACAATTCCAATCATCTACTCTAAAATTGATACGATCAAATACAAAAACTAAAAATAAAAGCTGATGAAAAAAAACCTAACATGCAAAATAAAAAAACGCACCTGAGATGATTTTTTTGGGGCGGACGTCGAGCGGAGGTCGAGCGGCCCTAGAGATGTCGAGCGGACGTCGACGTCGAGCGGAGGTCGAGCGGGGATCAATGGCGGAGATCAATGGCGGAGGTCGGACGTCGAGGGCAGGTCGAGCGGAGGTCGAGCGGCCCTAGATACGTCGACGGAGGTCGTAACGCGTACGCGGGACGTCGACGCTCGAGGCCGGATCGAGCGGGGCATCAAATTGGCGGACGGTGGCCATCAATGAGCGGCGGGGATCAAAATGGCGTAGGGGCGGATGACGAGCGTTTTCAGGCGAAAAATTTTTTCCACTCGTTTTTTTTCTGGTGGAAATTTTTTCCGCTTGTTTTTTTTCTTCCAGTTCGCTTTTTTTTTTGGGAATTGTTCTTAAACCTGCCGTCATTAATAGGGTGTTTTTATGGGTAATGGGGTTTTTTTCGTTTTTTGGGAAATGATTTAAAATCACATGGTTGGGATGTATTTGCGTTTTTGAGATCAATTGGCCTGAGAATTGCCCGCAATCCTTAGGCTACACCTAGGGCAGTCACCTTAGATTCACTTTTCCACATATATATATATATATACTATATATATATATATATATATATATATTATATATATATATATATATATATATTATATATATATATATGAGAAAAGCTGATTCTAAGCGTGACACTATATTTCCCATCTAAGGACGCCGGCCTAAAATCACATCATTCCCTAATTGTTATTTTCGATTCGCTCCGTTAAACTTTGATCTACACGTTTCTTTAAACCTAACACACCAATTTTGGGGTGAGCCCGTCCGTGTTTTGCACCTTCATCCCACTCGCCACGATTTTAACAGTTTATCGATATGAATAAAACTTTTTGCAGGCTCAGATGAAATTGGTCAAAACCGATGGGCTTCAACACCAAAATTGCTGCGGTGGTTGTATTAAGATACGTGTTAGTATCAAGTTCAGCGGAGCCAGATCGGAAAAAAAAGGAATGATGTGATTTTAGCCGCCGTCCCTTAGTGGGAATCTAAGGTGTCACCTTTAGAAAATCACTTCTTCCATAATATTATATAATATGTATAACACAAACATATATATAATATATATATATATATATAAATTTAATTTATATATATATATATATAAGTACACTTATATGTGTATATTATAGAATTACAATTATATAAGTATATTATATAATTGCATAAGTATAATAATATAATAATATATAAGTATATTGAATCTAGTATATATAAAAGTATATCATATAAGTAAATTGTATAACTGTACTTAAATAAGTATAATGTAAGTATGTAACAAATACATATATAACTATAAAATACATATTTATAAATAAGTAATATATACTTAAGCGATTATCTCTTTCTCAAGTTATAACTTATAAGTATATACAATTTATTTACATAGAATATATGTATATATAATATATAGTTATATAGTAGTTTGTAAGTATATACTAATACATACTTATATAAATATAATAATATTAAACTAAGTTTTAGCATTTTTTTACCAAAAAAAAATTAAAAATGACTGGGCCGGCCCGGTCCTCAGCC